TGCAATCCCGTTGCCGGTCCCTGGTCCGGTACGGGGGCAACACTGAGGGTTGCGATCCGTTGCCGGACACGGAAAAAGACAAAAGACAAAAAAGAAATAGCAAATATGACGGTGAGAAATCTAGGGCATGTGGCAGGAAGGGAACAGTGAGGGAGCCTGCACCAGAAAGAAGGGATGCATTTCAAGCCCTGATATATATCAGGAAGTAGCAGAAACACATGGGAACTGAATGGAGAAGAATTTATGAATAAAATGTGAAAGACCAACAGTTGGAGATGTGGATGCAAATAAGGACATGTATTCTGATGTTGCAGCAGACATTTTTAGCTGGGGAGGTTTTGGAAAGATTCATCTGCACAGTATTTTCCAAACTTAAAAAGACTTTTAAAAGTGGTAGAAACTCTGCTTAGATACAGGTAGAAGAGGAAGTGGGACTAGGCTGTGCAGAGCACAGTTGAAAACCCCTGCTCTCCAGCATTCAAGAAGTGGATTTGATGGATAGTAACCAAGTGTTGTATGTAAAAATAAAAGGCAAAAAGAACAAAGCATTTTTAGGTGGAAATCCATTGTCCTAGGGGATATAGAGTTAATCATTAATTCATTATAGTATCTCTTTGATTTCAAAATACATGATACAGTTTTTATTTGCATCATTAATTCAGAAAAAGTACCTACAGTTCAGTAAAATTTTCATATGTTTTGAGAACAATCTAAATTGGGCTCTTCAAGATACTTTTCTTACTGTTCTTTAGGAAGCCTTTATGCAGTTATCACTTCCTTTGTGCTGCAGCGAAATGAATTGAATACATGTTTCCATAAGAAAGTGCTATGTCTTTGTAATGTATAGCTGTGAAATGATTCCATAATGAGGAAATCAGTATGATACCCATAGATCTCAAACAGCATAAAAAAACTTTGTAGTCACAGGAAAAAAGAATTTTTGTGTAACCTCTAATTATATGTTTATATTGTAATCCATCCCATCCCTTTTCAAAAATACTTTCCCTTGGAATTTGTAAAGTATGCATGTTTAAAGCTTTTGGGGTTAAAAATTAAGCATCTCTAAGTTCAAAGGAGTAGAGAACAGAGAGATGTAAATTGTGTTTTCATAATTGCCATATTTCTTTTATCTTTCTGTTTATTTTATTATTTTATCATTTGTACTGGCCTTATAAAACTTTTATTTAATTAGCCTTTTATTTTGATCATTACTGCCATCTATCATGTTAATAGCATTCTGCTACAAAAAAAAAAATCCCTATATAACTGTTATTAAAAATTGGACAGCCTATAATACCTTTTAAAATATTGTGGGGGAAACAAATCAGTTTTGGCTATTATTGCCTGTTCTTTTTTTCCGTGTCAGAGTAAAGGTCGGGCCTATTTTATGTTCAGACTGAGACATAAGGAAACAACTTCCTAATTTGATTATCTCATAGGTATGTTTCTTATTGCAGTGCATAACTATCCGTGTCAGAGTAAAGGTCGGGCCTATTTTATGTTCAGACTGAGACGTAAGGAAACAACTTCCTAATTTGATTATCTCATAGGTATGTTTCTTATTGCAGTGCATAACTGCCTAATTTAGAAAATGTTCTGATACTTATCTGTGATGAATCATAATCACTGACTCTTTTAAGGTTTTAATTACTAATGTACTGAATCAAAGTGCTTTTTTTATGCCTTGCTTTTAAGAAAAAGTCATTTTATGATTGAATCACTTTCATCAATTATAATGCAGTAATGATGCAGACATCTTTACTTAGTCTAGAGCAAACTTGATTCTTATGTTGCCGAACATTGATATCTACAGTATATTTTTGATTCATTTTAAGGTGATAATCTAGCAAATAATATATTCAATTGTTGTGAGTATTAGGACCACGATATTACGTAGATATTATATAGATAAGAAGTCAGTAGGGTTGTTTTTTTATCCTTTGAGACAAAATTTTTCAAACAAAACACTGTCTAATGTGTTACTTTCATACTGAAGTAACTGGACTTACATGATAGCTTAATGAGAGCGGCAAGCTGTTATTATATATATCAAGGTTTTATTTCCTAAGTCAAAAAAAATTATGTAAAAATTCATCAAACCTTATTTTATCAAAAAATTTGCAACATTTTGTAGAACTTAATGTTTGATTTGTGTTATTTGTGAAATTTGTGAAATATCTTGATTTTCTACGATAAATTGAATTTCTTGGCAGCATCAGCTTTTCCTTTCTCATTGATGTTCCTTTTATGTTGTAAGGACTGCAAAATATAGACATGTGCTAGTTGTAATAATATCTACCACAAAATTAAACTTTGTTTCTATTTAGACTAAATATGTGACTCAAATTAAGAAGATGCAGCTACTCTCAAAAGAAAGAGCCGTGATAAAAAGTGAACTGAAAGATGAAGTTAGAGAAAAGGTAATAAATTAAAATGATAAACTTTCTGTTAACAAGATTTCTGGAGTGATCACATTATTTTAAATAATATAATCTTATTACAAAAATCTTTTTGATTAAACCTTAAGTGATTATTTAAAGACTTTTGCTTATAGAATATTGCTTTAATGTCTAATATAATTAAATTTGCTGAAAGGCAGTCATTTTGGGGTTAAGAGAGAGACTCCAAAGAAAACCTGTGTCATTAGTAGGTAAAATTGGGTTTTTCTAAATAATGCTTTGCAGCTGCTTTTTGCTTAATTCGAGGAATGTTTTAAATGAAAAGTAAACAAAATGGGACATTTTGATTCTTTTTCTTTTTTGTGTATATAATATGGCACATTTTAACCTTTTCACAGAGAAAATGGAAAGAAAAGATTGAACATCTAAGCAGTAGACAAAAAGATCGGCAAGGAATACTTAAATAAATTCTGCTATGTATCTGCCGTAATGCAGGCTTCTAATCCTCCCGCCTATCTCCATATAAATGATTCTGTTCGAGGCCATAGATGTTTTCTTCACTAAAAGCAGTAAAGCTCTTTTAGATGAAATGTCTAAAAACATCTTGTAATAACTTGGAGCATGCTGGCAAGAGTAGTCACTTGTGACTATGTGTGAAACCCCCTCAGCCAGTCGATATTGTAATAAGCCAAAATGGTAGCATCACTCCATTATTCAGAAAAGCCAACAGCGTGCTTGTTCCTTAGGCTGCAGCATTCATTAAGAAAAGCTTACTGTGCTGAAAGCTGGAAACAGATGATAACGGGATATGATTTTCATATTTAATGCTTTCCTTGGAAGAGTATGTGTGCTACAGATTGATAGAAGAATCAACTGCTACTTTACTAAAAGACTTTCAGGTTTGCCCTATAGCTACCGATGGAATCATTCAGCCAAGAAATTAACTTTTTCTCCTTTTACCTGCTTTATATATCTGCTAAGCAGGCTGCCTGGCTGCCAGTAAATGTTATTATGCAGTTAACTGTTTGGTATTTAAGACTCTTATCAGAAAAGAAACAGAGGCCACACTATTTTGTTTTTATAGTAGAAGGAAGGTTTTAGTTTTTCTTTCTTCTGTGCATTAGCAGGCATTAATCTGAGTTTATAGGAAGTTTTAGTTTTCTTTCCCTATAGATTAAAAAGTTAAAAAACCTAGAATTTAGAGCATTCTTTAAACTGTAAGATACAAAATGGTAAGACCCAGCAACCTTGACCTATATAAAAAGGCCTTTAATGGTAAATGATTTATATGCCATTAGATGTAGGCCAAATGTGATGTGATGTGATAGACTTCCAAACCATTCAGGCAGTTTTTCTGCTTGACATTTGGTCATGAAATAATTGACGTGTTTTTAATCTGTAAGCCTGTGTGTTCTTTCTATGCCATTCCTGATAGACAGATTCTTCGTATAGCAGTTTCAATGGTACTTAAGTAAAATGGGAGACTTTTTTTTCTTTTTGCCCTACTGATTCTTTACCTTACATGTAGTTATGGAGTTTCCTTTTAAGTCATATTTAAAATTAGGGCAGGAGGCATACATACAGCTGATAAGCAACCCCTTAAAATGTTAAATATAATAATTGGAAGTGTTTTCCTTTGTACAGAAAGGTGTCATCTCCTTAAAAGCTTTGACTATTGACTATGCAAGAATCAACTAGGTAACATTTTGAGAAATTTATATCTTGCCTTTTCCAATTTTCCATTGATGTTTGATCAATTAAAAGGTAAATGCATTTCAGCAAAATCATGATTTAGTTAATCCTTATTATATCCCTCAACTAGGTAACATTTTGAGAAATTTATATCTTGCCTTTTCCAATTTTCCATTGATGTTCGATCAATTAAAAGGTAAATGCATTTCAGCAAAATCATGATTTAGTTAATCCTTATTATATCCTAATTCCTGAACAATTTCGTGTATGAGTTATGTTTTCTTTTTTAGTGGAAATTCGAGCTTCTTGTCTTTAGATTGTCATATGAATTAGTCCCCATGCTGAGAGTCGGTCTCCAGGGACTTTTCTAATGCATAGGACAGTCTGACTGGTTGAATTCAGTAAATAGTTGTTGAGTAACTACTCTGTTTGAGAAGCCATAGTAAGCCCCTTTATGAATGCCACAATTCTTGCCCTCAAGGTGCTTCTCACAAAGCAGTGTTCTTTCAAGCCCAGGATAGTGTGTTATAAGTGCCAGTTACATGGGACAGATATGAACTATGTGGAGAAAGAAAATACTGCTTCCTCTGAAGTGAATAACCCACACCTCGATGGAGGAGGTTGTGTGTGAACTGGCACTGAAGGATGGGTAGGATGTCAGTCACTCTGGATGCGATAGATGACTAGAGGTAGGAGACATTAGGAGTAAAGGAGAAGCAGGAAAGTTCAGTGGGTAGTTGTACAGGATGACTGAAGTCTAAAGTTCTGGTAGGGAAGTAGAAAATAAGCTTGGAAAGGTACGTCATGGGACTTCGCACCCGGAACTAAGGTTCTAGGCTCAAGAACTGAGATTTCCCCTAGAATTATCATGCGTGCACGTGTGCGTGTGTGTTGAGGCCGATGAAGGAAGGACTTTTGAACAGAGCAGTTACATCCCAGGTGTGCAGCTGTCGGAAGATGCAACTGGCAGAGCTGTGCAGGATGAACTGGGGGAAGGAGTGTGTGGAGCTGAGGAAATCAGGGTCAGTTCAGACAGGAGGAATTAACCAAGGACCTGCATTCGGGGTGGCTATTGTAGTGGAAAACACTAATAAAGGGGAGAGGATCTATCAAATTAGTGATAATTATGAATTACAAAGATATTTTTTAAAAGTGGTTGTATAAACTTTTAACCATAAGCATTAACTTGGATACCAAGAAGAATCAAGTAGTGTTTGCCCATTTTTTTAATGTAAAACTCTGGCTCAGTTTTGCGGTAAGACACCCACTGTTTGCATGCATCCAGTGGCTGCTCTTTAAAGTCATGTGTTCTGTTCTCTTAAAAGGATTAATAACTGGTCTACTCATCCCCTAAGCTTGTTTCCAATATTAATTTATTTAATAAACTTAAAAAGGCAAAGTTCAGGCCCCATTTTGAATCCTCACAAATTTTACTATAATTTAATAATCCTTCCCCTCTATTATATATTGTCATTTTTAATTTTAGGGTAAACTCTAATTCTCTTTGTCTCTAGGCATATTCTTCTGGCTGCTCAGTTTTTTGGTATGAGCAGCAATTAGAGAATATACATAAAAACATATCAAAATGTGTGTAATCAAAGAAGATGAAGATGGCATTTGTGAATGAGAGTATAAATTTGGGGATGGGAGTTGATGGAGTTTGGATGTGTTGTCCCCTCTGAAACTCATGTGGAAATTTGATCCCTATTGTGGCAGTGTTGGTAATGGGGGCAGATCACTCATGAATGGATTAATGCTCTCCCTGGTGGGTGGGGTGGATTAATGAGTGAGTTCTCGCTCTATTAGTTCCCGTGAGAGCTGGTTGTTTAATAGACCCTGGTACCTCCCTTCTCTCTCTCTCTCTTGCTTCCTCTCATGATGTGATCTGCTTGTGCCTGCCAGCTGCCTGCCACTTTCTGCCATAAGTAGAAGCAGCCTGAGGCCCGTGCCAGATGCAGCTGTCCCAGAATCGTAAGCCAGATAAACCTCTGTTCTTTATATATTATCCAGTCTCAGGTATTTCTTTTATAGCAGCAACACAAAACGGATGAATACAGAGGTTGTGAAGTTTCTTTGAACTATTATGCTGAAATATATTCTGCTAGAAGCCAGTCCTGGAGAACTGTTTCCTGTCTCCAGGATTATGCCCTGCCAATCCTGGAGAACTGTTGAGCAGCAGGGAATTTCATCACAGAACTGAAGGCTGGTTGGGAGTGTCATTTCTACGATGGTAACCCTCTTAGCAGGGATTCATGTAGAGAATGGTTATGCAAATTGTTACCCCACTTCTAATACCAGTACTAACAATGGATAATGATTATTGCACTGTTGCTATGTGCCAGGTGCTGCAGTAACACTTTATATACATCATCATTTAATCTTCTTGGCAACCCTGGAAGTAGATGCTGTTGTTGTCCCCATTTTATAGAAAGATTGTTGTCCCCATTTTATAGAAAGCCTTAGAAAGGTTAATTAACTTGCTAGCCAAGACTACACAGCTAGGCAGAGCCAAAAGTTAAACCCAGACCATCTGGCTTTAGTGTCCAAATGTTGAGCCAGTTCAAATGTAGCATTACTTTAAAGTGAGCAGCAATTCATTTTTTCAAGTTTCTTTTTTGCTATAAAAGTTGTTGATGGGAATATAAAATGGTACAGACATTTTGGAGAGTAATTTGACAGTACCTGAAAAAGTTAAACATATAGTTAGCATGTGACCCAACAATTCCATTCATAGGTATATACCCAAGAGAAATGAAAACATGTTCACACAGTTGTTGTCCCCATTTTATAGAAAGGCTTAGAAAGGTTAATTAACTTGCTAGCCAAGACTACACAGCTAGGCAGAGCCAAAAGTTAAACCCAGACCATCTGGCTTTAGTGTCCTAATGTTGAGCCAGTTCAAATGTAGCATTACTTTAAAGTGAGCAGCAATTAATTTTTTCAAGTTTCTTTTTTGCTATAAAAGTTGTTGATGGGAATATAAAATGGTACAGACATTTTGGAGAGTAATTTGACAGTACCTGAAAAAGTTAAACATATAGTTAGCATGTGACCCAACAATTCCATTCATAGGTATATACCCAAGAGAAATGAAAACATGTTCACACAGTATCTTGTACACAAATGTTCATAGCAGCATTATTCATAATAGCCAAAAAGTGCAAACAACTCGTGTTCCTCATCTGATGAACAGATAAACAAAATATGGTATATCCATAAAACAGGATATTATTCAGCCATGAAAAGGAATGAAGTACTGATACATGCTACTATATGGATAAATCTTGACAACATTATGCTAAGTGAAAGAAACTAATCGGAAAAGACAA